AATGTAAGTGTTGCTTCACGCCGCTTTGTGTGATGCCGTGGTATCACTCCAGTCGAGCAGTCCCATATTTTGTGCCGAAGAATTGCACTGCCACACTTAATACAAAACAAACAACAATACAAAAAATCAAGAATTATTAATTTAAACCAGAACTTAGAAAAGTTAATACTAAATAAAATAGAATAAATGCATAAAGATGTCACAACTAAGAAACAATAACTGCTTATCAAAATAGACAAATGGTTTTAGTGCGACAAATCGTCTTACATGACGAATGATCGCTCGTTGCAAATTATGATAGCAAGAGTCGTGTGGGCAGATTGACGATCTAGTTTATCGACGGGGCGTCGTCAGTAACTGGGTCGCATTGCCAGGTGGGTTCATTGGTCGAGCTTGTTGTGTTAGGAAATATGTATTTGAACTTACAGTGTTAGTCTTTATACGGTACAAATGTTATAAAAGTTAAGCTACTTGTAATGTGTACTGATATTATTCCATTAATCTCAAGAATTATTAAGAAATGGAGTGCTTTAAATCACTTTAGAAGCTTAACCAAATTTTGTGCCATTTTTTAAAAGGATTACTAGGAAGACATTACTGTACATTATCCATTCTGCTTTCCTAAGTTGAGTTACAGCTATTATCACTTAACTCTAAAAACTCTCTTTTTGTAAAAGACCAAGAGACCATTCTTTTTCATTTTAAGTAGAAGGGTTTTAAGGCTAACGCCTTAAATGGCTCGTAGCATACAAAACTTACGTTAGAAAGGTAAGAAATATTCGCAACCACGGCTAAAAAACGACCACTCATAAAGAACTAATCACCAATAAAGTGAATCTACATTGAAGGTGAATCGTAACAATTATATCTCACATCCCTACTTTTATTTTCTTCGAACGCGGTACCACAAGTGCATAAACTCCACTTCCTACAAGATAGGTCCAATTAATTCACATAAAATTAGAAGCCGGCTTACTATCAGCCGGTTGCAGTCCTAATTATTAGGGAGAATGTTCGATCTTTATTGTTCGCTGTTAGTCCAGGCTTACATTAGATCTAGACTAATTAAATGCTAGTGTAAGAGCCTGGTTTCATTAAAATGGCGATTTTCGTGTGTGTGGATCTGATAGCGCGTGCACAGTCGGCGACACTTCCTACTTGTAGCCAGTGTAAAAACTGGAGGCGCAAATCTTGCTTTAAATAAATCCCGGATTAAACGGAGAGGTGGGTTTTGAGGTAAATGTTTTAAAGTAAATTATGGTGGCTAGTTCGGTCTTAAGTAAATGTATGTTTATTGCAAATGCATGTTTTATGGTTTTACTGCGAGTATTGAGAGTGGCTGTTTGGTCCTTTGAGTCGGAGACATTGTATGATCATAAAATAGTAAAGACGTTACAGAAAATATTGGTTTGAATTTATGATTTAAACTATTTAACTATGACCGAAACTTACTTTAAACCAAAATGGCACTATTATGTTAAACAATAAGCATCTTACTTTCTTTGTTCGTATAAGATCCGAAAAGAGGAAAAATAAAATTATAAAGAACTAAGAGAACATTGACACCAAATGAATAGCAGTATTGTATAAAGTCACTGCGCGCACGGACAGTGCACGATGATCTACGACGCGACGGACTTCCGTATCATTACGGGTTGGAGGGAGCGCAGGCGCGCGCACAGATCACATCGGCACGCGCCACCACTCTTATCATCTTAATTTTATGTATTTATTCAATATCCCGTGAATAGACGAAGAATGAAGGAAGTATATGGAATTTGTTGAGAAAATTTCTTTAGTTTCTGTGATTATACTTAACAATATTAATAAAAATTGTTAAAAAATGTCGCTAGTAAATAAACGTACATGTTAATTAATTGAAGGTTATAATTTGAAAAGCAATGATGTGCAATTAAATATAAGTACAGAGGTGGACGATAAGGGGACGGTATCAGAGCGTGACGATTGGCACACATTCCTTAACAAGCTGGGAATGAAGGAGAAAAGCGATTCTGTGCAAATTCTTAGCGTTTGAGCAGAACTTGTTTCTATCGAGGGATTCCAAAGTATAGTGATTATGAATAGTACTTAATAATAACTTAAAAGTAATAGCAAGTAATTCAGCTAACGAGCGTAATTACAAGCATGGGAAACAGACAAAGTTTGGCAACAAATATTGCTACATTCGTAAAGTATATTTATTACCGACAATTCTTACTACGACCGCTGCTAATCGAATAGCAATAATTCGGTTTTCTACAGCTCAATCTGTCATAACTTAAAGGAAACTTGCAGTACCTCTTATTTCTACGTCGTTAGTGGTTAGGTCACGTATTAGGAACTAGTTGATCACGTTTGTTTGAAACAACTTAATATTTAGAGACAGCTTTGCGAGGTGTGAGAGAAGTTCAACGTTCTTTTTTTGAATCAAAATTAAATGGAACGTCAATTTTATTCGCTTCACTGGATATGTTGACTTTATCATTCATGACATTTAATACGGTAAATGTATCATTAAAGATGTAACAATAATTTATTCGGACACAAAATTAATATTTGACGTCAATACAGGTTGCTCCATTCTTCCAAAATGTTAACAAGATGCATACGATCAAGCCAAATTAAAAATAGTTCTTGTCGAAACCTGTCTGTTAACGTATCAATCCTCGTAACCTCGATGTGTGCTGGCCACTGTTGGGCAATTGATTGCCATAATCAAAACGTTATCGACGTTTTCGCACGCGAGGTTGCCTAACACTACCTCACCATAAGGAGAGACTATGATAATAGTATACGTATGGATATTGAAGTGTTTACAATTACTGATTTTGTTGAACAAGAGGCTTGTTACTGCAGTCTCCATATACTAAGGATAATTGGACAATCAGTGCGCTTGAAAGGAGTATGGGCTTGCACTGAATGATTGTAAGCTAGATAGAGGGACTAGTTACTGCTGAGGTATTGTTGTGAATTTTGTGTTTTCAGTTATCCTGGCGTTATTTTTTTAAAACATCGATGCTTGATTCCTTTTTATTATTTTGGAAAAAAGTTTAAAATGTACACACAACTTTGTACTAACCAAAACACATTCGATTTCAATTTTTTAAATCTCTTCTCATTTTTTCATTATAACAATTTATCACATGCTTCGCTCAACACCTACTCATTCGCCAAAACTTTCACTATCACGCGTGCTGACACGAATTATGATCTTGATAACAATTTATTCTTCACTAGAACAGGTGAAACTACAGTTAGTCGTTGTCGTAACCTTGCTTGGACCACGCTTCGTTGGTTTCATGTCTTTTGTTAGCGTTTACTTCGGCATCTATATATAATTCACACAATTCATTGCCTTTTAAAAACTTTGCGTTATTGGCCTTTTAATTATGGGTAGTAAATATAGGCTCATGTGTTTGATACTCGTGAGATTTTTTACTGTAAAATTAAATACTGTTTTATAATTTCGTTGGCAGAATCAAAACTGCTGCTGATGAAGCTGATATATCTTTAAAAGAATATGTATATGTATCAGATTCTAACGTAAATAACAGTCTTGAAACATTACTTAATCGGACATGCTTTAATTAACAAAGATCTAAATTAAAATTTTCTTATCTGTGAATAATCGAATCCGGAACAAAATAATAGATTGCTGAGATTACTGAACTTATTAAATTTATAGCTGGTTCAATACCTCGATTGTATAAGTGAAACCAAGTACAACAGTATAATAGATGGAAGTCGATATTTAACCAAGCACAAGAAATTATTGACTGAGTAATCTGTTCAAGGAATTTAATAAATAACATAGCAATAAAACTTCCGAAACATTAATTGAAAACTAACCAGTTGCTGTATCTTTCTTAAAAAGTGTCAGTGGCCATTGAGAAATAAATGATTTATATTACCCGCGATCAATATATTAAACTTTTACCTTTAACCATTTCCTAATTAAAGCTGGTCTCAGAAATAAGGTCAGACAAAAGACAACTGATGAAAACGAAAGACAAAGCCTTCACACTAGTAAAATAATGAGCCGAATGTCTCGTTCTAATCGATAAGCGAAACGTATCACGACAACGTGACTCTAACAGGTCCTAGTGTGGCTGAACCAGAAACAGTTTCACAATAGTAATTATATTGAGCAACGATTTACCATAACGATAATAGTGAACAATTAAAAATACAAGTAGTCCACACCATTGACATAGAAACTAATGAAAGTAATCAACAATTTATGGAACTTAGCAAGGCTGAAGTCAATGAAGAAATGCTTAAAGAAATAAATAACGTTGAAAACAAATTTAAAGATATATGAAAAAGGGCAATTATTTAATGTTAATGGTATCTTACCATTAAAGTTATCAATAACAATACAATTAAAAATAATAATGTAACAGAATACAATAAGACAACGCGTAACAATGAATTGGTGTATCAACCATAACGACCTAACGAACAAGAGTGACAGACGAGTAAATTGAAACCAAAAGCTGATTAAGAAGTAGAACAATGTAAAGACAAAACAACTGAAGAAATTGTAATCAGAACTGTTAAACTGACATTTATTGATTAGGAACAAGAAATTAATATGTTCTCTGTTAATAAATAGGATTGTTTAGAATTTAGAGCAGCCACGTGCCACAATGGTGCCGGCTCAATACTAAGTACTCAGCAATGCAGACATTTCGCAATTATGCTCAGATTAGTTGGAACTTGATTTATAATTAAAACAAGGTACGTTTGTAAGATTGAGTAATATCTGGTGCGGTTGCGTTAGATATTGGCTGGTTTTGGACTCACAAGGAATTTGTAGCAAAACTGATTCCAGATTAAGATTATTTGAATCATTAGTAATTCTGGTTGTATAAGTGGTCTACTGGAAGTTATAAAATGACTCAGGTGATACTCATGGAATATAATTACCATAGCAGTTTCACCCAGTATTTGATTTAATGAAATAATCGTTCAATTAAAAATAATTAAAATATTCTTACCTCATGCCGTCAAATCCGTCGTCTGAGCCATTGATAGTGAGCACGGGCGCACGCGCATACGCTTTGGCAACGCGTCTGTTCCTCTCAAACACTATCACCTTCGCCCATATCTCGTCATCTATCTGTGTCCATTTATCCAATACTTCCTGTATGTGTTCCTGTTGACAAAAGAAAAACAATATAAATAAAACTATTTTTGAACTTAGTTCTGGCACAGATTCTATTTTGTCACATAATATTTCTACTATCTAGCTATCATTTTCTTTAAATATATTATAGGTATATCGTATGCAGAAAATGCATTGCATTTTTACTTTTGCTTTATTTTTATATCAATCCGATCTATATCATCACGATGGGGCCCTACAATGTTAACATTACACAAATTTTTAAAAGTAGTTACATTATGAGCATTTACTAAAACGTTTTCATTCATATTGTCTTGCAAAACGTCTGCTTAAGGATAACCTTGGTCGGCGTTACTTTTGTAAGGTGCGATTAGGAGTTTAGATATTAATCCTAATGTAGCAACATTGTTGCAATCAGATGACAACGTCGCAGCCGCAACAAAGTTCCGCTCTACTAATCCTCTCAGTTTTGCTTCAAGTGTGGTTTATATGAGGCGGTGTGTCAAATGAGAGTAAACATAACTAGGTGTAGCTAATTTTGTATTGTCATGACTTTAGCAGCAATAAAGTAAGTTTTCTTGTGCCTTCAAACGGAGGAATGGAAGCTGGATAGTTGTAAATTAATGTTTAAAGTAAAATAATTGGTCAAAGTTTCCTGAAGTGGCGATTAAATAATTTAAAACATGGGTTGGTGGTTGTGGGTCCTCTTAGGAATACCACATAACAGAAAAAGTCATTGTCACAAAAATAACAAGTAAATGACATTCGAGAACTTAGTTACAATACAAAGTAGAATGGCGCCGTCAAGAATGTAGGTACACGTATTAATAAAGCAATCCTTGAATATAATATTAGTATTCAAATAACAAAAAGGCTGTGGGTGGTCATTTCTTGAATTAACTGGTTACTATTCTTTTACAAATTATTTATGAGGAGCTGAATGACTCAAACACAAAACATGATGACGGACAAGCAAACATAAATACTGGCAATTACCGACTTTGCAAAAACTCCACACAAAGCTATCGATGACGTAATAACACAATCAATCAATATTGCGATGATTTATAACAAAAATATGGATGATACTGTATGTATTGTTAACTAGGAAGAAACTAATCATGTGAAATACAAAGTAATAGCAACCGTATTGTATGGGGAAGTAAGAATATTTTACCATGAAGTGAAGGTGGATTCCGTATTCATTTTAACGGGTATCGGACTGTGTAAACGTGAGTTTTTGCTGGTTGTAACAATAACTAGGCAATGTTTGCTAGCTGTTACTAAAAAGTTGGTTATAAATAGACCGTTGCTTTAATAAGAAGTTTTGAAAGGATTTTGATAAAATATTGCTTTGGGTCAGTAGTTTTGGTATATGAATAATTGATAACGAAAACTTATTTCTTGGTCTAGTGGGTGCAAATCAATATTTCCGAAAAAAACACTATTGGGCTTACCAAATTTAGAATCCATGTGGAAAGCAACTACTAATTGTAACGTAAGCTGTTTCTTTAATTCATAATAATCTATAACGTGTAATCTACCGTTTTTTCTCACTGTCAAATTATGTTAAAACACAGATTACCACAGTATATCGTTATAATTAAAATATAATTTAATATAACATTTCAATCGCATCAATAATCGTTTTTTAACCTATTAATAGAAAACAAATGTAGCGGATTGTATTTTATATCTATGCAGCCAAACAAATATATGTAATTATAGAATGGTCATTAAATTGACATTATAGATAACAAAATATTAAGTAGAATTTTAATACTAAGCGCAGTATTTCCATTGTTTAAAAAAGATTGTGAAAATATCGAAGTTTTAATGGCTAATGGCGTTAAAATAAATTTAGATATAGGACTTACATTATTAGCATTCATCAAAGAGAGTTTTTCTTTGAAAAAGTTTAAAGCTAACAACACGTCGCCTAAGGACAAGGAAAAAAAGATACAGGCAGCAAAGAACTCATAAAATAAAATTGAAAGTAAACAGGAACAACAATATTGCCAAAGAACAGTTAAAATTGCTATGATCAACGCAATCATATGAAATCGAAAGCCATCGCAATTATGGCTAATGGTTCGTGGGGAAAAAAGGAAAAAAAGTGCTATTTATACAAGAACTAGCTTCAACGTACTGAGAAATACTCATAAATATATATCAGCGCCATCTTTTGTCTGCTTAGAATAATATAATAATTAAAAGATTCGAGTTTTGCACCAATTAGCCTTATACCGCCAAACAAAAGGTTAGATGAAGCATACAGAACCTAAATGAAATAACTCAAAGTCTAAATTTATTTAGCCCTTAATACAACCGAGATTAGCTATTCAGAAAGTTAAGAAATGGGGTCTCAAGTCATTACGCAAATGATCTGCTTACTATAAGCCTTAATGATTCTTTACGATACTAAATCGAATTCGCACTAGCTTTCTCTTTTCTTCATCAAATTCTAATCAGAATCAATCATATGCAGTGCATGCTTTGTTATACGTATTAGGGATGCAAACCTATGCTTCTATCGATAAAGTTACGGTTTTCCTTAAACCCAAAGCATCGAAAGAAATTGTCAAATTTAATAGAAATCGGAAAATATTTTTTCTTTCTTACAATATTTTTTAATAATTGCGATATAATGAAATTTGTGGTTTTCTTAATTGCAACTACAAAACTAGATGTCGCTACTGTAGGTTTAGGCCTATGTCTTTTTATCATTTTCTAAATTAACTTTTGTTTGTGGTTATAATAAAAACAATTTGTTCTTAATGGCATCTATACCTCCAATCCCTACTCCCAGCTTCTCTTACAAGTCACCCTGCAGTAAGTAATGCACAATTCGTGGCGTCATCCTTCTCATAATCTAGCCACATATTGTCATATTCAGTTCGTTATTTGTACTGAATAGCCTTCGTTAGAGCTATTTTGTATTTATTCGCCAATGGACGGTCAGTCGTGCTTAATCATTCCTCTGATTTATCGCTAAGGATAGAATATTGTATCAAGATAAGGTTTGCGATGTTTTAGCAATGACGTGACGTCGACATTTTGTTTCACAATACAGCAAATGATATATTGATGGAAAGTTATGGCGGTACTGTGTGCTTCTGACAATATAATACTAATATTAGTGGCTATTATGCTTGCATTTGTTTGAATGGAATCATTAATTATCTTATTAGATAGACAAGTGCAACTAGTGCGGCCAGCGGTTTGATTTGTGGGCCAAGGTTGAAAGTTCAATTGCGCTTCAGTTGCATGCTGATGATGACTGACAATATGGATTGCTTTATTTTGTTCTAATTCTTCTGTTATGGTACTTATATGTTCTTCAAAGCTACTGAGATATTTTGGAACGCGTTATTTATCTTTTTTTGTCCTATTGACTTATTTATCTAAATGCAGTAGAATTCTTGGATACAAAATATTTATAGCAATAGATACTTTTGGTTCATGACATACAAGATGTTTTATATTACTTATTTACTCACTTAAGTCTTGAGTATCTATTTCAGAGCAATAACCAGTACAATATACATTAGCCTCTGCACTTGATTGAACATTTTAAATACGGTTAGGTGCGAACAACGGCGTCGACTATGCAAGGTTGACCACACCTCGATCGCCTTAAGATATTTCCATTACACCAGCTACTTGCATCTTGTCATATTTATATCGTAATATATTCTTGTAAACCTGTTCAAACTTGAAAGAGATTTATGGTATTTTTTTTATTTTGCAGGACTTTTCACAATATTTGCCGAAAATATTTGCGTTATGCAGCTACTTTTGTTCATATTTATGGTTTTGTGATTCAATGTTGTATGCTTCTTTGGGTTAAAATCACTCTTGAATTTTTGAGGCTTATAATATTTAATTCACTTGTAAAAAACTATACTACTTTAATACGAAAGCTCTTATTAACATTTCTTTCGATTTTACCATCACTATTAAAATTTTCACTATCTATTCAAACATGAAAAGTGAGATCTCCATTGGTTACGACGACGGTACAAACACACAACACTTTTTGCGATCACGATGTTACATTTCGTAAGTATTATGAGATCGCATGTTAGCATTTAGCGTGCTTCACTTGTTTTCAAACAAAACTCAATTTACTCAATTTACGCAATTTTATTAATAGGCTCGCTATCACGTCTGTCAATATGTACCTACATCTGATGTTTACTTGTAATTAGTTTACGTGTTTGGATTCAAAATGATGGATTAACATGAGATGAACACGAGATGTGTTGGGTTTTTAAGTTTTAGACGTGCTTGGTTAAGATCTTTAAGAAATGGTTAATCATATTTATATGTATTGTCTAGCAAATTTCTCAATATCCGAAGAATAATAAGGTAGCAAGTTTCACGAAATATATATATTGAATAAAAAATTTACCTCTTAAATCGATAAGAGACAGAGTTACAAAACCTGCAGATGATGTCATTCGGTAACATTTCTAAATAAATATCAGGATTATTTAATGTAAGCACTAAAACTTGTGGTTTCTACCTGAGACTTGTCGCTTTTTTCCTCAAATTTTGGGACGTGCCTCTAAAACTTTTTGTAGCCAGCGAAAACATTTTCAGAGATAATAAAAATGCTAAAAGGTACAAAGGTTTAGGTGTGATAAATCACTTTTAATTAGAGTGTGTCTAACACTTTTTGGCATTTTAATTTAAGGGTATGCATCTAAGTTGGTATGCAATGCACTATATTTTTAGGTGATGATTGTAACGATCTGGCAGTTTTTACTACACAGTTCAAACGACCAATAATCTATCATTTAAGAAAGTTGAAGTAATATATTTTTAAAATAATTTGAATCGATTAAAAGATATATTCGCGATTCTGACGTTGACAATGATACAAAAAATAGCACCAATCATAGTCATAAATTACCTAATGACAAAAATGAGATGAAACAAAAACCAGTCGCTTTAGAAAGTGATAACAAAAGAAATTCAAATAGTTTACTGGATAAGACTCAACCACAAACTGCATCGACTGTGAA